TTAATGAGTATTATGTTATTCTTTCCAATATTTTTAACAGTTATTTCTTTCCAGAAAAGCAGATATTTGTTTTCAGGTTTCGATCCTATATTTTGAATCATAGAACATTTAAAAAAAAAAAGAAACTTCTAAAATAGATTATTTTCTTTTTTCATCCCTAGAGGACGCCATAAGCAATTCCTAAATACATTATTTTCTTTTTTCGTCCCTAGAGGACGCCATGACTCCGTTGCCAAATTAAAAAAAAACTAACTTTTAAATGAAAAGCAGGAGGTCTACAACTCAATCAGTAGTCTACGAAACACTCAACTCCACTCGAAACCACGCCTCCTAGTGTGATGACGTTGCCTTTGGCCCCGCCTTCTGTGACATTGGCCACGCCCACCCCACACCGCGTGTCAACCCGCATTTCTATCTACTCACGGAAATACTGCAACAGCCCGTCGCGGATTCGAACCTCGACCGAACTACATGATCAGCGTCTTCCACTCGGCCGTTTGTGGGCCTTTATGAAATGGAAGGCGATAACTTTATTTAAAATAATTGTTAGAAATACCAAATATTTTCGAAAATTTGGATACTTTTTAATATACTTTGAGAATGCTTAAAGAAAAAGAGAAGAAAAATAAATTTTTTCGTAAAATTTAGTATTTGTATTTTTTTAAATTTAAAACTTTTCAATGTTATGATATTTGATTCTTGCGATTTCAAAAATAAAATATGAATAACATTTTAAGAAACCAAATGTAGGATAAAATTGTGTAAAGCAATGGGCACAATGATAAAACTGTTTAAAGCAGTGTATGCAAGTCATCCTAAGTTAAAATGTCGTTTATACATCTCTCTTATTTATATATATCTTTTCTGAACGGAACATTGAAAGGCGTGTAAAACTGTGCTTTACTGTATTTTCTCTTTTAATATAGTATGCAGTTTTCAAACTCAACGTAGTCTGGGTTACAAAGTATTCTTCCGAAAGAAACGCAGTTCAAATAAATAAAATCAAATTCTGGAAAATTGATATTAATAAATATATTTAAAATGCTCAGTTCGAAGGAATAAATAGAAAATTTTAAAACAGTTATCTGAAGAGACAATGCAACACAAACAATTAAAATAAAAGTAATAAAAATTTTAAAATTACCTAAAATAATAACTATGACGAAAATATATATATAAAGAAAAGTATTTGAAAACAAAAAATGAAACGCTGCACCTTTATTTACGCAGTTCGAATAGGTAAATAGAAATTTTTAAAACATTTTATTCGAAAAAAAAAAAAAAAAAAAAAAAGTGCAACTTAAACAATTAAAATGAAATTCGAAAAAGAAAAAATTACTTAAAATAATAAGTTATAATTAAAAATATAATATAAAGAATATTATTTGGAAAAAAGGAACGATGGTGACTTTTTTTTCCTCTCACGGGAAAGGAAAACTAGGTTGCCATATATTAAGAAGTTCGCCAAGTGAAGTATTCTTGGCGCAAACTGACAAAAAAGTGCCAACATAAATTTGTGAATTTCTCCGTAAATTTCGCTCCAAATTTTACAAAATTTCATATTTAGGCGTAAATTTGAGTCGTAGAATCGAAATATGTAAAAAAATTGGTATATTATTTCAGAAAAAGTCCGATGTTGTGTCAAAATACCTATGTTAGAATAGTGCTATATATAAATCTAATATATATCCTAAGTCACGCTTTCGAGACATGAAGAACGCAATTTGAATTTTGTCAATCGGCCCAGTAGATCGGGAGATATAGGACTGTCCCATTTTTTTTTTTAGCAGTGTACGTCACGGACTCCGCCGGTATATATCGTGTAAGAAACAGCATCGGCTTTAGTCGCATGCAAGATGCCGCCTCTTGCAGTTCGGAGCTCTCTGATTTCAAGAAAGGTATAATTATCATGTATCACAAATGTGGCCGATCCTTAAGGGACATATCTAGCAAACTGAAGTACCCAAAGTCGACAGTGGCCTATGTGATTAAGAAGTGGAAGGTGAGCGGTGATTGTCGGAATGTGCGCCGAGTCGGCAGACCAACTAAACTGGGAGATAGAGACCGACGAGTGCTGTCCAGAGAAATTCGGAAGAACCGCAACCAACCGATGGCCCCTCATTCCGAGGAGTTTTCAACAGGCATCCGGGAGTATTGTTTCAATGAATACTATCCGTAAGGAAGCACATCTGCCTGGTTTTCATGGTCGTGCTGCTGCCCATAAGCCTCTGATCACAAAGTCCAACCGCGCTGCTCGGTTAATGTGGTGCAAAGCACATAAAAATTGGACCGTAGATCAGTGGAAACAGGTTCTTTGGAGTGACGAATCAAGGTTCACCCTTTACCGTTCGGATGGCAGGGTCTGGGTCTGCCGTCTACCTGGAGAACATCTCCTGCCAGAATGCATTGTGCCAACAGTCAAGTTCGGCAAAGGTGGAATTATGGTCTGGGGGTGTTTCTCCTGGTATGGGCTGGGACCCTTGGTCCCCATTCATGGTAAGCTCAACTCCGATGCCTACTGCACTATTTTGGATGACAATGTGCTTCCTACGTTGTGGCAGTTTTACGGGTTGGACCCCTGTTACTTTCAGGACGACAATGCCAGTTGTCATGTTTCGACGTTAACCAAGGCTTGGTATGGTGCCAATGGAGTTCATCGAATGGACTGGCCTGTCCAGAGTCCAGACCTGAACCCTATTGAGAACCTCTGGGACGAGTTGCATCGCCGAATTCAGGGGTGCACTACCCTTGCAAAATCGGTGAAGGACTGTCTTCTCCAAGCCGAGTGGAACAAAATACCACTAGCTGTCATACAAAGACTTGTGGAAAGTATGCCCCGGAGGGTCCATGCTGTAAATACCTCTCGTGGAGGCTCTACCAACTATTGATTTTGAATAAAGTTAGTTTTTCTTTTCTATCACAGGTATCCAAATACTTATTGGTAGTCAGTGTATATAGGAGATATTTTAGATTAATATATAGGAGATACTTTAGATTTTACAAATGTTAATTGAAATATATCATAATGATAAATAATACTTTTTCATAGTCTTCCATAGACCAAATAGATATACACACACACATATATAATTTGATTGAATTACACAAGCTTAATTTTATTCTATGAATTTTTGCCATCTCAGTAGAAGAAAAATTCCTTTAAAAAAATTAGGTTTATTCGTAAAGAAGTTATCGAGGTACTGTTTGACAATCAATAAAGAAGTGACCTCCATGTCATTCACATAATTTTGAAGCAATCTGAAACAATGAAAATCCAAGAGCACAACTTGATGAATATTGGGGAAAAGACATAAAACATCCCAGCAGTTATATTCAATATGTCTGTCCGATATTCACCAAAATGTTATGCTGGAAGGCAACATCTTGACAACTGATCAGTTCTAGGTGCTTTGTTTTGATTTCTGCTTTCAGAACTGCCATTTGTGAAGAGCATTTTTCTAAATTTGTTGTCTGATTTGGTGGCACCAATTCACAGTATAGAATTCACTTTATAGTCCCCACCATGCAAAAAGCATTACCTTTTGGGAATGCAGCCCCCTCTCAATGTTACTAATGCAGGTTCTTTTAGCTTACTTCGTGACTTTTTCTAGTAACATCATTATTATCACATCTCCAATAATGAGCTCTTTCAAACAAGGAGCTCCATCTGCCTCTTAATTCTTGAATGCATAACATCAGTTTTTAGTAATAGTTTCTTTTAATTACTTTTATTTGCAATAGATCAAAAGTGGGCATCATCTTTAAGGCTGAAATTTCTATTCTTAAACTTCTCAAACCAGCTTCAAAATCAGTCATCAGAAACGGCTCTTTCTCCATATATAGCATAAGTTTTATAAGCAGTAAGACTAGTAGTTCTTTCCTTTTTTAAAATAAAAGAACATAATGTGATGAAAATGAGCTTTTCGATTCTCTATGACAGAGTTTCTTAAACTGTGGGCTGAAACTTGTAATAATTTTGCAGTTACCCCATATTTTTACATAATATATCTGAAATTAGATAAAGATAAGACAATACAGACAAAGAAAACATTTCGACACATTCTTTTTATAATATAAGCGTTCATTTTACTTGCTTTGCACATGCGCTGTCATTTCGTCTGTTACTCATTTAAAATTTTCACATTGTTATGTCTTAAAATTAGAAATTAATGACATAAAACTGCAACAGTATATTACAATATAAGTGAAAAAACTGACAGTTTCACTCACGCGTGTGTCGGATTTGCGCAATGCTTATTGGGTCCTACAAAATTTTCGTAAATATTATGGGAGACCTGGGATCAAAAAAAAAAAAAAAAAATTAAGTGTTAAAAAGGGTTCATTGTCTTTCAAATGCCTGAGTCATTCTTTTTAGAAAACCAATGTGTATAAGAAATTATCGTAAATGTATGATTAAAGAGTATGTTGTCTGTGATGAATCATTCTAATGTGCCTGGAAATCTGGAAATAAATATAAATGGCTGAACTTAGTTATATATATAATATACTTAGTTATATAAATAAATATAATTGGTATCAACTTCATCCTCTCGCCCTACAACTCAGCCATCACGACTGTGCTTCGAAATTATGACATATATAGATATAATATTGTTGCAAATTTCTGTAAATATTTAAATCGAAACTGAAAAAAGCTTAAGAAGCCCTGCATTATGAAACAAAAATTGCACTGCAATACATGGTAGAATTAAACAACCTAAGCAGAAAGATTACATTTGAACCGCTGCTTTAATCAAGGTTATTCCTTTTTAACAGTAACAAAACAGAAGAAAATGTGCTTCAGCTTGAAAACTGCATAACTTTTTGGATGACGCCATATTTTTAAATATTATAAAGATGTAGCAGTAAAATACTGATAAAAAAAAACTGTTTTCGTTTTTCTATTTAAAATGAAAAATAATTTTTAATAAAAGGATACATTTTTATGTTATTTTAAAATTCACTTTATTTTACCAAAATATTACATACAAAAAACTTACTTTTTCAAGAAGAACATGTTTAAATAAAGAAATACTAAGGGCATGCTGATCTTTTCCTTTAGCTTGATTTAAAAGCCAACCAAACAATTCGTCTGCACACTCAGAATCAGTTGCTAAACACTGCCATAAAATATCAACTTGCTCATGATTCAAACCTAAGAAAAAATTAAGTCAAAGATTTGATATTACACAAAAGTAACCCATTACATTGAAAATTGATATCCAACTTAGTTATTGAGATACTAAAAAAAATAGTCTATTAAAAGCACACTTACGAAAATTTTCTGGAGATCCAGCAGTAGAAAATACACATGTTAAAAAATGCAAACGGACTTGAATTTCGTCTTTATGAGAATACCTTGAAATAAATATAACAATCAGAATTTCTTACTGAAAATATCAATTCAAATAATTTCTGAATTATTATAAATGTGAGAACCAAACTGAAAAACTAAATGACTGAAATTCAAAATGCCAACTCTTACAATGACAATATTGGCATAAGTATACATATCTGAATAATGTATATTTAAATTCAATCAAAAGATTTTTTTCTAAAATTTAAAAAAACTATATATTAACTTTTTTTTTTTTTTTTTTTTTGGCTGAAAAACCGAGAACAAGGATTATAGATAGTGTAAATACTAGACCAGCTATGATGAAGGATTTTTAAAGCAGCCTACTACCTATTTTCAGTATCATAGTTCATTTTAATTACAGGCCTTAATTCTTACAATTTCTTCATCTCTCTTTCAATTTTGTAGGCAACATTACATTAAATAAATATTCAACATAATGTGAGGACTACATGTACTAATTACATTCTTAAATTGCAAAGGACATAATCAAAACCATTTAATAATCAACAGCATTCAGTTTTACATATTTGATCATACATATATTGCTCAACTACTATACAAAATTTTTTGCATGAAAATATTAATTTTTGCATGAAACTACTTTTGCGGAAATGCAATCTTTTTAGAATGAGGGAAGGCGAGGTGTGTTTTCGTCATTTTATACCAGTCAGAACAAGTCTAGAATCACATTTCCTTCTTCAGGCTCATCAGTAAACAGTATATGGTCTTGTTCCCAATGGCTTTACAGAACACGATGAGGATACCACTTTAAATGAACTCCTATGGGGGATAAAGTGAGAGGGACAGAAACCACTGCTTTTTTCATTTAAAATTTATTCTTATTAGGTCTCTATGCAGGAGCAGAATGTCAGACTTGAGTTCTTATGGCAAACAGAAGGTTTAAAACAGTAAAGGTTTATTTAAAAGGTAACCTCTTGTAGTCAATTCACAATTTTTTTGAATTTGACAATGCCAGAAAATGGTCTTTGGATGGAACTGTAGCTCTAGGCTGCTTTACCAGATGTCTACTTATTGATTCACTTCTTAAGAAGAGTGATTCACTTTTTAGAATCTTCTTTTTCTATTGAATTCTTCTTATTGATTCACTTCTTAGAAGCAGTTCTAAGTTCTTGATAAAATACTTTGAGGGATATTCAAATCTTGGGCAGCCTCCATTTGTGTTTATGTTCCTTTTTTCAAATTGACTGATTAAACATTCCTCTTGTTCTACATTTAAATGATAATTTCGAATCATTAATAATGAATAAGTCTCAGAAACCAAATTAAATAACGTTACTCACCTGAATTTTAACATGTGTCCCTTGCACAATAGATTGTTAGTCAAATAATTTGCACATTTCATGCACAAAAGTCCAGTTTTATGTTCAGTTCCAGATAAAAACATAAATAATTCTGTCATTAGATGGTGACTGAAAACTTTAAATAACATGCATATTTTGATGATCAGTATACTGAATATTCTGTATACTGAGATACTTAGGTATAGTATTTGTTAAACATTTTATGGATTTAAAAGACTTTTTTTGCAATCTTTGGATAAATTATCTCATATTAAATAAATGAAGCACACCCCTTCTTTTGATAAAATTATGTTTTCTTTGCTCTAATGGCAGACCTTTAATCATTTGACAAGATCATGATCCTCATGCCAAAAAATATAAATTCCTTTTCTTCTAGATTTTGCTTTTATCAATCCATTGTTCAAAAGCTCCACTGCTCCCTCTAGTCTTATTTTGCAAAAAAAAAAAAAAAAAAAAAAAATTCATTTGTGCCTCACTTTTTAAATCCTTGAACCTCTATATCCTCTTTTCATCTTTAATTTCTTTCTTAAGAAATGTTATTAACAGTTCCAATTTATTTATTGTGGTACCTTTATAAATGTATAATGTAAAATCTGAAAGCTTTCAGATTTTTAGAATTTTTTCCCTTCTTCTTTTTTATTTTACCTTGTTATGTATCCTTACTGGCTAGTAAGGTTTCAATTTGCAAATTTTAGCATTATCATTGGCTAAAACATTAAACAAATATCCATATCATTGACATTATATGAGTATGATGAAAAAGATTAATTTTGAAGCAGTTTAGAGAGATTTATTGTAAGCAGGTTACTAAGTTTTAAGATGGAAAGGAAATAAACAAATTAAAATATGAAACTTTAGAGGCTATTGCAAATTAAAATTCATATTTTACCTTATTTTTTTAATCTTATATACACTTTATAACATAAAAAATGACATACCAAGAAAGAATTATCTGAATGGGATGAAACTGTGTATGCCCATAATCTTATGACAGAATGTGCAAATGATTAACTTTCAGTGGCCAATGATTGACTAGCAGAAGCTCCAGCACACTAAAATAAAGGATCCAGACATTCTAATACTAAGGCATAACTTCGATGCAAATATTGTTCTGTCGACCCATATGGACTATACCAATGGCTCTCAAATGGATTCGCAAACAATATGAACAGAAGTCATTATTTGAGAGAGAACAAGCAATTGGACTAAGAAGCAGAGTAGTCAAATCGCAGGATTACTAAACATTTGGATTTGGGTGATGCTACCATTTGACTTGGGTGAACTACGAGGGTACAGAGTGTTAAGAAGGTAGTGGTTGAATGAGATCAATGACAGAACGAAATGACGGCATGATCGTCTGATTGGCGGTCAAAGCCCGATGCATCCTTATCAATTACAGTCAAAAGTCGTTAATCCGGACTCGTCGGGACTTCGGCGATTCCGGATTATAGATCATCAGTTTAAATCGCGTAAGATGGCATGCAGAAATTCTAAAATTAAAAATATGAAACCGTAATTTATGAAATAAAGAACAATTATGATCTAAAAGGTATCAAAATTTACAAAAAAAAGTTTAATATTTATTTGTTTACTTTATTAAAATATTTCTTTCAATGTAAGTTGTTTAAGTTGCTTCGTTTTATGTGATAATACTTTCTCTTTAATTCTATAAACAGACATAATTTTTTGTTCATTTACAAAGTTCCGCTGTTCAAGTCCCGTTAATTGCTGTGCCGAGAATACCGACTAAATTGTCAATCGAAATTTTTTCGTTTTCACTAACCTCTCTGTCACATTCTTCATGTCTTTATCCATTTTTTGCAGCAATTTCACTTTTTGTTTGATGAACATTGAAACATACTTTCGTTTTGTACGATCCTTTGAGAGCTCCAGATTCGGAAATTCTATTTGATGTAATCGAAAGTTCAAGTTTACTTTTATAAAATTGCTCTTACAGTCTGCAAAAAATAATAAGCCGGATCCAATTCAAAAGATTAAGGAACAACGCAATCATCAACATTAACTGAAATAGATAATTAGATAATTTTAGATTATACCGTCCATTATACATAAAACGCGCACGAGAAAACGTATTCTGCGCTTACGCACACGCAAATGCGCAGTCGTAAGAGGTCTTACGCGCACGCGTAAACGCCTATGCGCATGTGTCAACGCGGCGCATGCGCAGAAAGTTTTTAGCTTTGAGGTCCGGATTATGGGTGTCCGAATTAACGACTTTTGTCTGTATTAGATGTGTAACAAAATTCAGACAAAAATGACTACCTGTGAGACAAAAGTGGAATGGAATAAGTGGACTCAACAAATGGGAACTGAGGATAATCTCATAATAGCTGACTTTGTGACAACTTTTCCATTGTGCCATTTTGACAACTTTTCCTCGCTGTTTTACACTGTCCAGCATGTTTGAAGTAATGCTGAGTGTATTTGACCTAGGATTTCGTGGATTGGAGTAGAATTGTTTTACTCCAATCCACCTGACTGTTATCTGCCACACAGCTTGATAGCCAGGAATCATGATACGGAGTGCCATTTAATTTGACAGCCTCTTCCCAAATGAGCATATTTTAGCTCTGATGAGTAGGCATCTCTGAATGTCTCTAGATCGTGCCAATCTAACTTATCAGTTGGAACACAAATGGCATGCAATCTTGTAAAAGGATATTCAACAACTCTAGGAATGGCCTATAGTGGCCAGCCGAATAACAGCTTGCATCAGAGCCAGAGGTGGGCCAATGCATTATTGATTTCTTTATTTTACTCTTCTAGCTGTATTTCTTGAGTACAAGATTCAATTCCAATGAGACTATTAGCATTCTGTTTTAAATACATACATACCACATCTATCGATTTTCCTCCCATTCAGATGACCTCTTCCTGGTTCTCTTCCTAACTTTTTATATTATAGAACGTAGATAACTTCAGAACATACATTAAATATTTACATTGATTGCATAATTTATGTTACATCATATACAAAGAATGCATGCAAAACTTATAATAATGCTATTTTAAAATAAATGCAAGATACAAGGTCTATCAAAAATGCACATCTTTGATAATTTGATAATCCCTAATAAATGTAAGCATAAGAATTGTGATAAAGATATATACATATAATATTAATTTTACTTACATGCAAAACTTATTATTTCGCAGGCTTGATGTGTAAGTAACAAGATTATTGAAAAAGTGCTTCATCATTTTATGTTCCTTTTCTGCCCATCTGAAATATACATATATGTATTATACATATAATGCAAAGTATATCCACATATAGAAGAAATAAAATATTTATTATACTGACTACTTACATTGTTACTGAGTGTGTATCACTACTTCCTCTAAACTGTTGAAAGGATGCAAATAACTTTGGCAATAAACGCATAGAAATTATAACAGACCTAAAATTACAAAACATAAAATAATACTCCTTTAAAATAAATAATAAATATCCTTTGCCACTTATGCATGTATAGTATCTACTAGATCAGCTATATAAAATATCATGAACATTTTTACAACAATTTACATATTTATTATCACAACACATTTCAATAAAGTAATGAATCCAAATTAAAATCTGGTAATGTTAAATAACATAGCAAAACTGTTTTTTATGATCTTTAACATTTGTAATTAAAAATAAATGCTTCAAAATCTTGCATACTATCATTTGAAAAGCTTTTTAAATTAATTACTTGCAAGAACATTTATAATGTTTTACTAAAAGCAAGACAACATCAAAACTACACCTGTTATTAGCTATATTCTGGAGGCAGCCTTCAATAAATTTCATCCTTATCATTTTATCTGTAGACCAGCAAACAAGACTGCAAAGAATTTTTTCAGCTTCTATTGCCAGTCCTTCACTCAACTGACCCTAAAAAGTAAGTGAAGGAACAAAAATAACCATAAATACAAAATCAAATATTTTACCTACTTGAACAATAAAGGAACAATGACTGAAAATGTGTTTTAACCCTCTCGCTGCGCATCCCGCGATTTCCATGGGCAACGTAGAAGTAGCAAAATTTGTGCAACCCGCAATTTCCGTGGGGATGAATTTTGGCCGTCTATTTAACTGTGCAAACCACTCTTTCCCCATTTAAGGTTCCCTTTCGGCTTTTCTGTGATGTTTAATTGTTTATTTAGACGTGGGCTAACAGATGACGTGAGTTGTCCACTTTTCTGCCGAATATACAAGAATACGTAATGCAGCATTTTGCATGCGCTTTTCAGAGTTCAAAGATGTCTGACAGGAAGCGTTTCGCGAGTGATATAGCCTATATTCCTGATAATATTTCCGACAATCATAGTAGTTTTGACTCTGATTTCAAGTATATTGAAGATAGTTATAGCGAAACTGACGAGAATTTTTTTGGATTCCTCTGCAGATAGCGATGAATCTGAAAATTCAGTTTCTATTAAAAATGTTCAAATGTAATATATGCAAAATATTACATTATGCAAATATTTTCATTAGTATACATGTTTTACTTTTGTATTTTATAAAATAAAACATAATGTAACAAATATTAATTTTCAAAATTTTCCTTTTATATCAAATAATAATTATTTTATATCAAAATTTTCCTTCAATTTCAATATTCTGACAACATTTTTCTATGATCTAATTCTATATTGGGGGGAAAAGAAAAGTTTACAAAAATTTTTTGTATATTTTAACTCTAAAATATATGTAGATTTGAAATATGTAATAAAAAAATATACGCAATTTTTTAACCTATTTTGATAAAAAAAAATTACGCAGTGAGAGGGTTAAGCTTCATCAAAAAGGTCAAGATTAGGTAGACAAATTAAAAAATTTTTACATCTTTACCAAGAATTCAACAGCATATTATTGTAAATTATAAAAATGTGAAAACTGACATAAAGAGAACAGAAAATCCATACTATTTTATCATCTTGTAATATATCCCACAATAAAGTCTGTCCTGGTTCACACACAGAGTCCAGTTCAAAGTGATTTATTGCTTGCCTCACCTCCCTTGGGGTGCGGCCTAGAAAGTGATGAGTATGTTTACTGCTACCATGTAACTGAGGTGTATACATACATGCCATATTTGTGAGCCTTTGAGTCATAGGATGAGAGTTCAGTTGAGCTTGTGCATGAGCAGCCAGCTGTGCAAGTTCATCCTCACATCCCGATTCTTCACCATCAAAATCAGCTAAATTCTTTTCCGATTTGTTACTGACATGAGAACTATTGCAACTTCCATCATCAGGACTTAAGATATCTTCCACTAACTCGCTAAATAGAAGAAGAAATGAAGTATGTTATAAACAATAAAAATACTGTTGGATACTTCCTAATTAGAACATCTATTGTATGCCATGTGATGACATTTAAAATTTGCATGTTGCAGATTAAGTGAATTAAATTTGCCTACCTTGTTAATTAATCACAATAACCACCATTTACAGGAAGTACCAACTTTTATTACAATAGATGAAATCAAAGAGTTGATGCAAAAGTTCTTTGAAATTTTCATAAAAATTCAGGAATCTCAGTTAATAGAGAATTTTTATTTCTAGCAGCTATGTGTGTTCAACATACTTTTTAACTCTTAAAACACCTTTAAATCTTTTTCATTGGAAAGATCTCCCTTTAAAACCTTTCTATTATGTTGAGTAGCCTATTTCAAATCAATTTAAGTCTTTTTTTTTTATTCCTTGTTTGTTTCTGTTTCCTTAAAAATCAAATTGATTATATATTCATACAGTGTACTCTTTATTTTCCAGGCGCATATTATCCATGCATGGTGGTGCTCATGCATGTGCACTTTACACTATGCATGATAATCTATAAAAAACAAACATGCACAAATTTAAGCATGGAGAAAGACTCTTCCTAACAAACATAGAAATCAGAGATTTATCTAATTTTGAAGAAGTCGAAGCAGTAACTGAAGTTGTATGCCAAAAAAAAAAATTGAAAACGTTAAATTCTTTAAAAATGTAGATCGGGGGGGGGGGGAATCAAAGAATGTCTCGATGGCAATTCGACTGCTAGGCTTTCAATGCTTGAGTGATGTGGATATCATTTCAAATGTCATAAAAACAAAGAGGTAGAGAGCGATATTGGAAAATAAAGGCAAATAATACACTGAAAATTCCATTAGTCCTAAGCCAGCAATGACTTCTTTTGAAACTCTATTGGGCTTTGTTGATCAAAAAAGGATTCGAATACAATGATAAAATAGCACTTCAAAACAAAGGCAGTTAAATTTGACAAATAGTTAAGTGCTCTCAAAAACAAAGTAAAATTACCAATTTTTGTGTTTTTTACGAAATAAACATAATATGCATGAAAATTGACAGTTTGGATTATCCATGTTTTTTGATTATATGTGACTTGCTTCCCTGGCAATTAGCCCACATAATCGAGAAAATACTGTAGTTATATATGTAAAAAGCAACTGCTGAAATTTTATCTAATGATCTAACATAACACAGCTTCAAAATTGAAGAAATTAAAGTTATTAGAGCCTCTACTATTGATAAATGATTCAAATTAATTATAATTTAAATGAGCTTTCATAGTTATCTTCCTTTTCCCCTTCATCTACTGAAATGTATCGAAACATCTTTTAAAAGTACAAGAACAACGATGTTGGATAAAAATTGAATGTGCCAGAGGTCGTACAGCACGACAGTGTCATCAAGGGCTTCAAGAGGCTTGCGGGATATCTGCATTGCCTTACAGAACCATAGCAAGATGGGTGAAAGCATTCAATGAAGGATACCCAAACGTGGCAGACATGCTGCGGCCAGGTCATCCGAGTGTCAGCGATGCAGACGTGCAAGCTGTTGCCGCACTAATGAACAGTGATCACCGCTAAACTATTCATCAGTTGGCCAGACAAACAGGATTAGCGCATACGACTGTGCTGCACATTCTGAAGGAACGCCTGTCCATGAGAAAAATTGCTTCACGATGGGTTCCACATCAATTGACGGAAATGCAGAAATGGCTACGATACGATGCTGCCCGAACCCACCTGGAGCGCTATGAGTGCGAAGGAGATGCTTTTTTTACGCCGTATCATTACGCTGGATGAGACTTGGGCCCGATCGTACCAGCCAGAACTGAAACGCCAATCAAACGAATGGCGTCATCACGGGTCACCACGACGTTCGAAATTTCGTCAGAACCCCAGCAATGTGAAAGTTATGGTGATTCTCGTGTACGACTGTGATGGTGTCATCCTAAAGCATACCGTTTCCCCACAGCAGACCGTCACTGCGCAGTTATTACTGCTCATTTTTGGAGCACAATCTCCGACCAGCTTTGAGAAAAAAACGGCGACACTTTCTGCAGAACGCTCCTCTCATTTTGCATGACAATGCTCGGCTGCATGCAGCGCAAGCTGTGACTGATTTGTTCAAGCGATGGAGCTGGGAAGTGCTTTACCATCCACCATACTCCCCAGATCTAAGCCCTTGTGACTATGACTTAATTCCTAAGATGAAGGAACTACTTTAAATTTATTATCCATGTATTTTGAGTGTTCCTAGGCCATACAAATACTATGCATTTAAAAACATCCATGTCTTCATTGGGATTCAAGCCCAAGACCAATCAATGATACAACAACCATAAGCAATAACTATTAGCCCGCTTAGGATGGTTTACGTACACATAAAGGGAATAGCAATCTACTGCTTTCAGTTGTTAGCCTCCCAGACAGTTGAGTCGTTACTGATGCTGACTACTTTAATAGATGGCTCTGGTTCAAATCCAGAGATGGCACGGCTATTTTTAGGTGCATACATTCTGTGCAGCAAGAAGAAACTCAAAATGCATGGAAAGCTAAAATCCTCTTGGTTGAAGATGGGGAAAGAGGAATGGGAGACCCTAAGACCACTATCCAGAGTGTTCTCCTTCAAAATTGGGTGGGAACTGTACAGCTAGTGTGGTAAGACTTTACTTTATGACCTATGATGAAATTCTGGTGCCCTGCTCACTTACACCTGCACCCACTTCCAGTTGTTAAGACTTCATCACTTTAACTATGAGGGATTATTAACTGCAACATACATTGCTTATTTTCATGTAGGCCTTTAGCACCTAGCTCATTGGACCAGCTCTTACGTAAATTATTCAGACAGTACACTATGTCCTACCAAACTTCAGAACCTATCACCTATTAAATTCACTAATAAAATAAGCCACTTATGTTCAAATTCCTAGGAACCAAAACATATGTATACTCTAATGAACAAATAAACCATCATTTATTAAACTCATTCCTTTCACTTATAATTCATCCATTTAACAGTAGACCGTGACCATGAACCGTTATTAATCAGGTATTTGGTTCTTCAATAAAATGGGATTGACAGAAATTTTTCTATTCACTTCCAATTCCTTACCTTTGAAACACTATTTTTAGAGCTCATAGCCCATATATGAGCTAAGATGTGCTTATCTTAACTCTTACCTTGAGCTCAGTGTCTGTATCTTAAAGTTAACATAAATCCTCTAGAAGTATTATAAATGAATGAATGGATCTTCACAAATAATTTCCAAAAAATGTTCACAAAATACATCCTAGCATTATTGTACATTAACATTCTTTGAAAGAAATGGGAGTAGTAACCATAGAATTTAAGAAAAAGCAAAAAAAGCATCAGTCATGCCTATAATCATGACGTGGAGATAGACTTAACTGACAAAATGTAAACTTTCCACTGGCTAGAAACAAAAGCTTTTTAAGAAGCATTTTTTAAAATTTGTTGTAGGATGTTGTACGAAAATTGGGTAGAAAGCTACTATTCAAACTGGTGTCTGAGTTACTTCAGACACAATGTGTCTGCCTTTTAGCCACGTTGTTTCTCAGTTACTTAAGCTTGCTATTTTATGGTTGTGCATATTAATTGCCAGTTAGTCTACATCAGTAGTATTAGTCAAAAGCCAACTACGTGCTTAAATATCTCTGTGCAGCTTTAACTGGTTAATCAATTTAGGATTAGTTTCAATTTTACTATTTTGAGTTGCTGTGAAAAGTATCGGCAAGGCCCTGTACGTACCAGGAATGTCATCTGTTCATATTTTTGAGTTGAATAAAAGGGTCTTTTTACCCTTCTTATGTGTGTAGTTACAGAAACAAGCTGAACTTAGCAGTTAGTTGCCTCACAGTTCAAGTAAAGATCTAGCCTCCAAATAATTTCAAATTAGCTAGAATCTTACGAGTACTTAAGAGAAAAGATTTAAGATTAAAAGAAAAGGATAAATTTTTAAAAGATCTTGATGTTCTTGGTACATGCAACCAAAGAAAAACTGCATCTAAATTGGGAACATTCCAAACAGCATTGTGCAATTTACTTAAATAAAGAATTAAAACTGATGAAGAACAAGTAAAAATTTCAGATGGCTCAAACAAGTGCAAAAAAGAAGGAAATCCAGAGACACTGAAATGCTTTTTTAGATTGGTTTCAGCTATAAAACTAAAAAGATATTCTTATTTCTAAATATTTGATGATTATAAAAGGTGTGGAATTTACTAAAATAACAGGAGGAAATTTCACATCAACTGATGAATGGCTCACAAGTCAGAAAGTAAAAAATAACACTGTTCATCAGAAACTGAATTGTGAGAAGGAAAAGGCATCATGCAACTGATAACTAGATAAATGACATTTCACTTGGGCAGCTAATTGAATGCAAGCCACAAGAAATTTATAAAACAGATGTAACTGGACTATTTTGCAGAACACTAACAGAACACACATTAATGTTTAAAAGTGAAATAGTAGATGATTTAACAAATTAAAGAAAACAATGCTATTTCATTTACATGCAGTATGGATCCAACAAATACGAATTTGCAGTTATGTCATACTTATCCATAACTTAGGCTAAATCACACTGCTTGGTGACAGTTTCATGGTTGATGACATAATACATACATGCTATAAAAGTAAATCAAAGTTTAAAAAAATCACCGATGATACATGGAATTAAATTCTTAGTCCTGTAGAGGTCTGCAGAACACAGTTCATGGCTCTATAGCTAAAGCAATCTAATACAGAATCACAACTCTATCGTTAAAGCAATGTAACTTTACCTAGAAACCATGCCATACTGTATGATAACAATTTAAAATCCCTAAACAAGATCCTAGAACTGACAGCCATGCAAATGCAAAAATAAAAATAAAAAATAAAATTCACTGTATTAATGATTAAATGCAAAAGAATTTTTTTTTTTAATTCTATGAGGAATAAATGTGCAGAATTCAGAAGGGGAAAAAAAATCTTACCCAGGAACAGGAACATGACGTTGGGGTCTTAAATTAGCAAGATATTGCCTACATTCATACATATCATTTTCTAAGCTCTCACTGAAACCAGACAAATTTTCATCTCTTTCTAAAACAGCTTTTACAAGTTCAGGTAGAATTTGAGGAGCAGCAGGCCTATGCAAGTGTTTTTTGTCAGCATTTGGAGATAGGTCAGAATGTTTATGATCACCAGAATTGTTCACAAACTTTTTGCAGTCATTATCACTATCTTTTACTGGAGTTACACACCTCACAGGCGATGAATCATGCAATGCAGAATTAGGATTGCAATTTTCAACACTTTCCTCGGAAAGTTCAGCCTTTATTACAGGATTAGGATGCCTCTTTTTAACACATCGAGCTTGTTTTTTACTAGCCACATATCGAGCACGTTTCCGCCTGATCATTTTGCGACTCCACATATTGCACGGTTTATTACACTCCCTACTAGAATCTTCAGAGTTTTCCATTAATTGAGTTTTAGGAATAGGCACATCTAAGAGTGGTTCTTCTGAGCAATCAGCAGCATCAGTATCACTCTGAAGACTATCATCAGTCACACTGCTCAGTTCACTCTCTTCACCACTAGAACTATTTTCAACAAATTGAGGCTTATTTTCTACAAAAGCAGTTTGTCTAACATGTCCTGAACATGTATGTCGCCATTTTCTACCATTCTGATGTCTTTGAGAAGTGTTACGCTTTCGTTGAGTTTGTTTTAAGATGCGCTTATGTTGTTCAACATCACATGGGCTGCTTGAGGGGCTACCTCCAGTATGCTCACTTCCTTCTATGCTACTTCTTGGACGATCACTTATTTGAGAGCTATCCAACTACGAAAATACATTAAAATTGATAAAAGTATTTTAAAAAAAGAATGCAGATTTAAAACAAGCTAAATATTTTAACCCACACATATCAATAAAAACACTACTTTTACCTTCAAGGAATAAGAAATATTAAAGGAAAGATAATTAAAAGTTCACACATATTAAAATATTTACAAAAAGAATTAACAATTAAATAGAATTGTATTGCATTTAAATATATATAATTTTAGATATGGAGATAGAATTTTAAGTACTTCCTTTTCTAGTAATTTAAATAAACACTTTTATTTAAATCAAACATTTTCTAAAAAGCATTCTCATTAAGCACACCAGAACATGACTACTCCCTGCACGATTACACTAGTTTTCTCAAAGCGTAAAAAATAGAAGTTGCATTCGCAGTTAAATGGCAAGTAAGAATACCTGTTTATCATCAACATAAATAAATGCTGTTAAAAATTATCCTTGCTTAAAATATAGCACCCTATATGTTTACTTTCTTTTAAAAAATTAATGTCAAATTACTATTTAAAAGATAATACGTAAAAATATCAGTAAAATAATAACTAAATTATAAAGCTTAATAAACTAAATATAACTGATAAAAATACAGATGTCCAAGAAAGACTTTTATTACTGATTAGTAACACAAAAACAAGCAATTTATTAAAATGTGATTTGTGATAAAAAAAATTAGTTTTTTGTTACTAAAATTCGTAATACAAAACCCAAAGCAATACATTTAATAAACTGTAACATGGAGAATGTACAAACATTTGTAATTCTCATGCAGCAGGGTCACCGATTTCTTTGGACTCTAAAAGTCGGTTTGGCCAATACAATAATGTCAATAGGCAAACAGCAACTTTTTCAAGTGCTGAACATCTTTGCAGTTTCACATTTTTTCATCTAAACACAAATTGCAAAGACACTTGTAAATTTCATGATCTGAATCACCTTTCCCCCCCCCAATTACTGCTAATTTTATTTTAGCTAACCAACATAAACAAATATGCTGCTGTACAGTTTGCAGTTTGAATTTAAGAAGCTGCTGGTGATGCTTATTGACAATTGTTAAAAAAATACCTGCATTAACAAAATACTGAATTATTTTTTTTCCTTTCCCAGCACACTTTATTTCAATTTATTTTCACGTTACACATTTCTACAACAACAGATTTTTTTTTTTAATAAGTATCTATGCCTCACTGAAAGGGAATTTCATTCACATGCCTTACTAATGAATTATTAGAAACTAATTATTAAAAAAATATTTTATATCTATCAATATGCTAGATAAAAGATTTAACACTTCCAGTCAGAGTCTAATAATTGAATTAAAAAGTGTATGTAAGATGCAAATACAGTACAATGTCTTTAATCCAGACTCGTCGGGACTTCAGGATTAGGGTTTTTTCTGGATTATAGATCAATTTAAATCTGGTAAGATGGCATGCAGAAATTATAACATTAAAAATATGAAACCGTAATTTATGAAAGAGCAATCTATCTATAGAGTACTAAATTACAAAAACACTACTATTCTTTTGTTATTTTTTAACATTTCTTCAATGTGTTGTTTAGTTGCTTCGTTTTTTGTGCTAATCTTCTCTTTAATTCATAAACAGACATACAGTGGATGGACAAAATGGAAACCTTGTGAAATGCTGTTTGAAAAGAAAATTGATTTTAATGAAATATGTAGTGTGGCGCTGGGCGTTTTTGACTACTGACGCCCCTATACAACTTCGTAATGTGCTAAACAGTTCAGTGTTGTCGGAGTACTGTTATGTGCGGTTTGTCATTGCATTAGGTCAGAGTTAACAGACTTCGAACGTGGGCAAATTGTTGGAGCAGATGGTAGGTGCTTCCGTAAGCAAGGTAGCCGAGGTGTTAGTGTTTCAAGAGTCTGTACGAAGATTTATTCCGCATATTTAAAAGCGAAAAACATCATCTGCTAATCACAGCGCGGACGAAAGTGTGTCCTGAGTGATCGTGGACAGACGCTCATTAGGGCAACTGTGACGAAAAATAAGAAGACACAGCTGCAAAAGTTACTGCTGAAATGAATGTTGTTACCGACCCTGGCGAGTACCAAAACAATTAGAAGGAGCTTCATACAGGGAATTGCTGGCCATTCTGCAATTGAGAAGCCACTCATAGTGATGCTAATGCCCGTAACAGGAAAAGGTGGTGTTTAATTCATAAAGCTGGACTATAGAGCAGTGGAAGCGAGTAATTGGTCTGACGAGTCTTCTTTTACATGTTTTCCTACTTCTGGCCGAGTTTACGTCTGGAGAACGCCATCTTCAAGCCTATAATACAGACTGCTTGTTGCCAAGAGTGACAACATGGCGGGGGTTTCTGTTATGGTTTGGGCAGCCATATCGTGGTCTCTGCTAACCCCATGATAACTATGTCAGGGCACATGACTGCCAAGGACTATGTGAACATTTTGGCTGATCAAGTTCATCCCATGGTACAAAACTTTGTTCCCCAATCGTGATGGTGTCTTCCAAGACGACAAAGCCCCTGTTCACACAGCTCACATTGTCCAGGGGCTGGTTTTCTGAGCACGAGGATGAGTTGTCCCATATCCCCTGGCCACCACAGTCACCAGCCTGCATATTATCGAACCTTTGTGGTCTACATTGGAACGGAAAGTGCGTTCTCGTTATCCACCGCCAACATCGTTATCTGAACTGCCACCGTTTTGCAGGAAGAATGGTATAATATCCCTTGGCAAACATACAGGAACGTATTTATCCATTCCGAGAAGACTGCAAGCTGTTTTGGATGCCAACGGGTTTCCTACACCATATTAAGCAAAGAAACACGTTTTTTTAAAGGTGTTTCCGTATTTTTGTCCAACCCCTGTAATTTCTTGTTCAGTTCCACTGTTCAAGTCCTGTAATTGCTGTATCGAGAATACCGACTAACTTATCAATCGAAAATTTTTCATTTTCAATAACCTCTCTGTCACTTTCTTCACTATCAGAAGCAGTACATCGAAAACATGCTTTTGCTTTGTGATCCTTTGGTAGCTCCAGAATCGGAAGTTCTTTTTGACATAATCGAAAGTTCAAGCTTACTTTTATAAAATTGCTCTAACAGTCTGCAAAAAATAATAAGCCAGATCCAATTAGAAGATTAAGGAACAACGCAATCTGCAACATTAACTGAAATAGATAATTAGATAATTTTTTTTAGCCTAGCTTATACCGTCTGTTATACATTAAACGCGCATGCGTAAATGCATATGTGCATGTGTAAATGCTACGCACGTGCAGAAAGTTTGTAGCTTTGAGGTCTTAATTATAGATCATTCCGGATTATGGACATCCGGATTAAAGACTTTGTTCTGTATACCATTCAGTAACAAAATCACAACCAAATCAAGTAAAATCAGAATTTTTCTTAATATAAGGCCTCATTCAATTGAAACATTTAGTGATCGTTAGCTGTCATACATCATCAGTTGCGATTGATTTTGCTGTTTGGTATTCAATTGAAACGCAACGATCACTCTGAGCTCGCGATCGCTCGTTCTCATAGCGATGACTTGGAACCCATCATTCCTCGCCGAAAAACGATCGAATCAATATGGCGGCTGTGTTGTTTGTGCTTTCACGAGGACAGAAATCAAGTGTGCTAAAGAAAATGCTTTAGATCTGCTGAGTGAGCATCAACTTATATCAAAGTATAGGGTGTATAAGGATCCTAGCAAGGGCAGCCGACACATCATCCTGTGTTGTATCCAAATTAAGTGGCACTTGTTGCTAGTGGAACATTGATTTAGCTGATTTAGAGTTGTGTTGGACATTTACATTTGTGTTGATGGATTGCTACCTAATTCAGAGAAATATGCGTGGATGCACTGCATCAAATTATTCATATCGTTCCAGAAATAACTTTAGTATGTTCTATTTCCCGAGAAATGAAGAAATACGAAAGAAAATGGGTAATTAATTCTTGTCCATTGGAATAGATTCCGATCGCAAGACCGTGCGCTTTTGAAGTAAGTTCAACTTCGTATGTTTTCATAATTGTTAAAAAAATAAGTGTTCATGTTTCAGCGAAATGTGTATTATCATTTAAGTATTGCTAATTAATGACAAACTGATTTATATGTACAAAATGAATATCAGAATGTGTATAGTCAATACACAAATACCGACGGCGATAAGTAGATGCTGATGTGATTTTCTTTATTGTTATTATCGCGAAAGGACAAAGTTTAAATAATTATATTATACATTTGATTTCAATTTTGTGCGTGATTATAACTATGAAGTGCACTTTTTATTTAAATTTTAATGCGGGATTCATGGTTTAAAATCGTATGTTATTTTTTTACCCTATTATATTGTCACCAAATCTGTCAGTCGGCCTCCAATGTAAAAAAAAAAAAAAAATTAAACATTGGATAATATGATTGAAATTATGCATTATATAATGTTTCCCTTAAAGTAACATAAATATATCGTATTTATATTCATTTTGAAGAAGGTAAGCATCAATTTAGGTATTTAACGAATAATTTTGACTGTATTTATACATCGTGTAGACTGTATTTCCAGCTCTTTCATTTAACTGCGATTGCTGTCAATTTATTTCCAATGTATCAACATAAAATATGTTTTAAAATGCTGTACAAGCTTAGTCAGTGATTCTTAATTTAATTCAGACAATTTTTTATGTGTAATTAAAATAATTTAATAATATATGTTACTGTAATTTACTATTTTTGATTTTAATGTTTTAGAAATTTGCTAAATCAAGTTTATTTTTGTGTGACCTTGCATCAGAGGCGCCCAATGATAAATCTGTTTTGGCTTTCACTGCTAAAGTTTTAATGAAAATCTTAAGTATTACTGATGTAAAAGAATGAAAAAATGATATTTACTTCCTAATCAGTGCCTTATGATATTGCAATAACTTAAAAGGCTTCTTACTGTTTCTTAAGTTGCATAACGTGTTTTCATAACTTCTTGTCATCTTTATATTTTATTCGTCTATGTTATCAAATAAATATAAAAGGTATGTTTCTAATTAAAAATTCTTCCTTTCATAGCAGTGTTATGTACCATGATGTGATATGTGTTGGCGTTTATTATATAGTTATGAACATTAGTTCATTATAAAGAGTTTTATGTATTTATTAAATATATGTAATCTTACATCATTGTGTATTATATAATTTTCCTTTTAGAATATATTACATTGTATTTTTTGAGTTGTTAATAGAACTAGGTACATTTTTCTTTTCTTTTGCTTTAAGAGGTCTTTTGAATCACTTTTTTTTTCAGTATGCAAAACTTACTTGACCTATATTTTTCACATGTATATGATTTATGTGAATGGAATGTGTCTTTTAGGTTAACTATTTTCATAAAGGAATTAAAATAAAATAATACCTTTGAAGAATTTTCATAGATAAAACTTTGAAACAATAGCGCTGGAAAGCCAAAGATGGCACGCCAAACGTGAACAGCAACCCTAAAGAATGGTTACGAGGAGTCAACCTGCACATCTGGTAGCTCTTTCATTGGTTATTTCGAAAACAAACGCAACTTCCGACCACGTGACAAACAGCATCGCGCATCAAGTAACCTCTGGCAACCCCTACGAGTTCGACTGGTAGGGAAGTGTTTCAAATGAATACGAAAAATCACTCGTTTTCAAAAGTGATCGCTAATGCTGGATACAACGATCGCTGTTTGAGCGATCATCGCTGTTTCAATTGAATGAGGCCTTTAAATATGATATCTCTTCCTCTCAACCCTTGAATTAAAAATCTCTTTGAATACGATATTTTGAACCTCTCTAAAGTGAGTATGAATTGTTACAAATGAGTTTGGTCTTCTGTAGAGGTGTGAAGAGACGTGAAGTATAATGTTAAGGTTTATTTATATTTGAAGAAATACAGGTCAGCTATGACATTTCAGGAGCAAATTTATGACATCATCAAGAACAGGTTTATCTCACTTGAACTTTTGGACTCCTTCTTTCAAAGACACAGGATACATTTACATATTTTTTAATTACTGGGGACCTTTTGAAATGGAAGGCACCTAGCAAGTGCAATTTGCATGGCCCCACAAATATTTCTGTGTTTACTGAACTTTATAAATACGAAATATAAATATTAAATTACCTTAATCACAAAAACCCTTAAATAATAAATTACACTATATTGTTATTACTTACTTCACTAGCTGTATGAACATGTCTAACATCACTGCGCTCATCCTCACTATTACTTGCTTCAATACTAACACTTCTTTCACTGCTGCTAGGTTCGCGCTTCCTCATTAAACCAGATATTTCATTACCACTAACACCTAAAGAAAATGTAAAAAGTGATCTAAATATATTTCTTTGCAAAATACATATTTTATTACATTTACAAACTAAATTTAACTATTAATGTTCACAGAAGGAGATGAACAAAAATATTTATATTAAAACTATATTAGCTACAGAATTAAATATTAGGAAAAGTACATTTATTCTACACCATTAGAAAGTGAAGTACACAATATTCAAACAGTTTAATGAAATCAGAATCATATCACATAGGAAACAAACTGTTTACAGATGTAAAAAGTGCTTATTAAAATATTTTAATATCTTTATATTTACTAATTTGTTTGTGGTGACTGAAATTCTAGGAAAGCCAGTATTGTTTTGCATTAGTAAATCACTCTGTTTCATAATTTAAAATGTCATAAAGAGAAACACTCCATATATTTAATACTTCACACTAAGCAGCTTTGAAAAAGTAAAATCTGGAATCAAAGCCCATAAAAATATTTTAATCATTTAAGTGTCCTTGCGATGTAGTTTTGTGTTTCACTGGGAATCTGGCACTTTTTGATTTTTTTCCTATGGATATAATGAACTAAACTTGAATATCCTTAAATATTTTTAACTTTTATTGTGAGTAATCAACCTGATTTTACATATTGAAATCACAATGCATTTCTTTGTGTTTCATGGATGGCGGCACTTCACCGATTTGTGAAATAAACACTTAAACTCGAAACATAAGTATATCTTATCATGAAAAGATTGAAATTTTTTTATTTAAATAAAATTTAAGCTGACATATTCATATTGTTTTTATGATAATTATATCTAAATACATCTATACGTAGAATGCAAACTCTGATGCTAGTACACAAATTTAAACATTTTAAAAACACAATCTTTTCACGCTATTTATTTAAAAAGCTTTTATTTTTACATGTTCTTTGGTTAGAGTAGAGAAAAGGGTACCCCTTGTTATTATCGCAAAGTTGTTGTTTCACTTATCATCAAGTTGTTGTTTCATTTATGCTAGCCTGAATAGTTGAATGTTATGGAAACCCTATTATGATGTAATCGGTTGCATGATTGCGGTAAATTCGTTATATGGATGTGTGTTGGTTAGGAACTATAATTCTTGTTTTGTGGTTTAGATGGTAAAATGGCTGAATGTGGTAAGATTAATTTTAATAAGTTTCTGTACGATTTGGAAAGAAAGGGGAAAAGAAAGAGCATTACTTGACTGGTGTGTAAATGAAGGTTTACTTCGTAGCCTTTATTAGGTGTCCTGTTTGTAGGAAAGAAATGCATATGGTCAAACGTCAGAAATGCGTACAGTCGAACATCGCTAGGGAGGATATTTTTTACTCTTATTTTGTGAATTCATGTGGCAATGCCAGTATACAGATTCTAGTTCATATAATTTTAGGAAGTTTTTGGATGCTGTTAAGGAATTTTTTTGACTGAAGATTAAATTCGTAAATAAGGTACGTGGTTATATCCTTTGTGTAGGGCAAAGATGAGTTTTCTTTTTTATATTATTTCATTGTTTGATTTAAAAGGTATTTTATTGATATTACTTTTTTTTTTTGCTGCTCCTTTGACTTTTTAAGTGAATATAGTTTGATGTGTACACGGACAATGGGCCTATATCTAGTTTGTGCAATTCTCCGATATTTTTTTTAAGTGAAAATAGGTAAATGTGTACATGGGTACCGAGTTTGTGAAATTCTTCGTCTTGTTACACAAAAATCGCTGCTACACAAGCCAAAATAATTTAAAGAATTGCACAAACTCGGTATCCACGTACTGCCAAAAATCACCAATTTTCACCAAGGGGTACCCATAAATATATTTTTACCTATTCTCCCATTAAAAATTTATGATTAATCAATACTGGTAATTTTAAAAATAGATATTAAACTTACCCATATGTAAAGCTCCTTTCATTAACACAGAAAATGGACTATGTGCATTTGAGTGATCACCTATTTCAGAAACCATCATACCAGATGTAGTGTTTCCATTTGACCATATAAATTTGATTAAAGCAGATGCTAGAAGTAATGTCTAAAAATACAGGGAATAATATGCAGATGTAATTATAACTCATAAATACAAAAGCAGACATGCTATTTTAAATCAAAATTAGTCAAGAAGATTATATATTATGAAACATTAATGGTCTTTTATCATAATTTCTCTACACTTGGAGATGTGTAAAAAATATAGTTTATTATTTGCTTTAGTTATAAACTTGGAAAAACATACAAGAATGAAGAGAACAGAAAGTTTTAAATACATAAAACATACATCTAAATTGGTATTTGTTTTAAATAGATGATGCAAACACAGAAAAAAACACATTTCCTATCAGCACAGATATTACAACACATATAAACACATTAAAAGATCATGAAGTCTTCCAACATTTGAAAAGAAAAAAACGGCATAAATAAGTCACAGTAAGCTGTCTCCTGGAATTCAAAAGTATTCATTTAAAATTAACATAAATCTAAGACAGAATGTTTCCTAATTTTAAAGTACACATGCATCCTTTATACCTTTTACGGTAAACTGAATGACAACATAAAATGATGAGAAAAGAAGTGGTCTTCAAAATAGCATTGGAATTTAACTATTTTAATATAAATATAAACCATATATATATATATATATATATATTCACAGCATATTAATTAGGAAAAGCCAAAAATTTGTTATTAACTGTTCACACTGCTTTTAATGCAAAAATTCGCTTATAAACTGTTCATAACATTTCTGGAATTTATATGACTCCTGATCTTAATACTTGGATGGCATCCATCATTAAAAGAAAATATGCAAATGCAAAATTAAATATTACACAAAAATGAAAAGCAACCAGAGCAGATGTGCAGATGTTTTTACCGATTCCCCCCCCCAAGAGATGAGGGAAAATTCAGCAGACCCCTCCTCTCCTGAAGAAGCGAAACCTATGTCTAAGCACCCTCAAAATTGATATATTTATTCAAATCTACAGCAAACTACAACTGCTTTGTTTGCTTAATTTTAAATAATTGATTAAAACTGAAAATGCCTGTTTGGTAATTTGGGGATATTCTTCTGTCACTTGAAATTTATAATTGGTTTGGGGCTTATTTGGTGACTTTACTTCAGTTTAAAAAATTAATTCTATAATACTTTGACCTAATTAACTGACTTTCTGATCAAGAACTTCTTTGTTATAACAGCCCCCCACCAAGACTGAATTGCCTATCAACTGAGATATCTTGCCAAAATCTCACTGCGTGCAAAAAAAAAAAAAAAAAAAAAAAAAAAAAGGTCTCCATGTTGGAAATAGGTTCAGCTGTTCTAGAATATTGTTTATCACTGCTATTAAATTTATCTGATCTTCGACAGAGGAGCTGATGTCCATGAAATGGAGTAACAAACAGTTTAATATATGTGAAACTACAGCAGTTGACTGGAACAATTACATGTGATAAAATAATAATAAGGATTCTTAAAAATATTCTTAAGACATGACAAGTAAGTATTATTGTTATTATTATTATTATACATTGTGCTGTTTATTTTTACATTTGCACTTCATGACCTTGGCAAAATTAAGCCGAGGTCTTGGCACAAATCTAAAATCGCCAAATATGGTTTTCAAGTAGCACGGCAACGTCGTAACAACCTTGCCCAAACTGGTTGCGGATGTCATTGCAAAAACGATCAATATGTCATCTTTAAGACGCCCAGATGTCCACGAAACTCCACTGTTTTGCAAACGCTGCAGCAGACATGTTTATTACGTCTTAGCAGATAAGGTTTATGTTGAATAGACGTCGTTATTGAGTCTTTCTCACGTTATATTTTGGTTGTGAAAGTGACGGACGTCTTAATGACGCCTAAATGTTTGCAGAATTCAACCTTTTTGCAACAGTTGTGAAAACGCCATTATGACGTCCTTGTGTTACATATTGATTTATGCAGAAAAACAAGCTTAATAATTAATGTATTTTTCTTCTTTTTTAAAAATTTTGTATTCTTTGTCTTTTTTTAAGTTAAGATTTTATCATTACCTGAAAACCAGAAGATAAAAAAAAATTGCTCTTTGACTAATTGCATTTTAATAGCCTTAATTATTCAGTATTTTTTAACTAAATTTTTTAATAACTTAATTTTTAAGTTATGGTATTTTAGATTTGATCATTTTTTAAAAATCCTTAGTGATGTATATGAAAGTGGTTATTATAATATGAACAATAATAGTAGGTTTTAAGTAAAAAAACTCAATCAGACTAAATAAAAAAAGTATATGTGGGTAAAGAAAAGAGTGTTTTGATTATAACAGCTTATCACTTTATTCTGTTAATCTCAGAGACAATGAAAATTGCCCCTGTTATGAGAAAGAGGAAGCGGGTTCTTGGTAACATATCAGTATTTTACTTGAACTCAAGTATAAATTTATTCACGTTTCATATAAAAATATAAAACCATTCTTCTATATCTCCAAGATATGCAAATGAACGACTAGAGTTAATCAAAAATTTTATACAAAAATTACCTAAATCTAATACCAAAAAACTTCCCATATATATCTAAATGAAATAATAACCTAAAAAAACATACATGACAGCACTATTAAGAAAAAATGAACTAGCAGTGTTGAAAGTATAATAGCAGAAGGAAGGTAACGAACTAAACTTTCCAATTTAAAAAAATATTTG